CGAGGAACCTGAGCTGTCCACAACGTCCATTTTTAAGACGGGATTTAAAAATAAATAAATAAGCAAATGACCTCCCATCTCCCACGCCTCGTCGTTAACCCTCGCGCCTCCTCCCTGTGATCACGCTGCCTTGATGACAAGCGCCGACGCTGCAAATCCCTCACCCTCCATGCACTCCATTTTCTCAGTATCTGGCATCGCGATATTAAATAACTATAAAACTAGAAAGCCAAAATAACTAAATCACCTGGCAGCCAATTTCTGAGAGTTAAACCACAAACCCGGAAAATGGTGGAGTGTGTTGAAATAATGTAAAGGAAACCCATAAATTCAAACTTTATGTTCTGTAAAGAACAAATATGAAAAAGGCATCAAAATAATGAAAGATTGTTTATGTATTCTGGCATGAAATGGGAATGTGTTATGAGAGAGAGAGCAGTGCTGGAGACGGATCGACAGAGCTGACAGTGTGGTATTCATCCTGCCCGGCGCGGCAGACGCCCCGCTAGTGGCAGCAGACAGCACAATAAATCAAGGGCTCTCGAAGCTGTACCTACAGCTTATTACATCCAAGATGACAAATAAATAATAATCCCTGTCAGAGCGGCCCTTTGCTCAAGGATTGAGCCTGAAACCTTTGGCTCATCACTCCTCATCTTAAGTGAAAACACTAGAACTAGGGAATTGGAGGCCACGGTTTGCTAAGCTCATGAAACACAAAACAAGCAGGACCCGGGAACTAGGACTGAACGAGAAAGGTCAAGAAGGAAGGAAGGATAAACATTTAAATAATCCTGACCAAGAGGGGGCAAAGCAGCGGAATGAATGTGGGTTAACATGTCCTCATCATCGGGGGGTAAGAAACAAAAAACAAACAAACAAACAAAAAAAGAACGCGCGACACAGATGCCTTGTCCCCACCCCTACCACACAGAAATGCCAGGCTTCAGGGGAAATGCAGTACCGGGCTGTCAAAGAGACAGGGTCGGAGAGGCACCAGGAGCCAAACACCAGTGGCCACCCGCCTCCCAGCCCCCCACCACCCCAAATGCCTTCCCGCTTTATTTAAAACCCAACCAAGTTGTGAAAAACCATCCTCCCCGCATAGTAACTCCAGCCCCCTCGCAGCGTAACTCCAGCCCCCTCGCAGCCTCCAAGGAGAGGCAACGGTGCTGACCAGGGCCAAGGCAAGAGGAAGACTGAGGCACAGACCCATTCCTGTTTCTCAGCTTGGCCACTTAGTCACCCTCTCTCATGTGCATCTCTCACTGGCTCGTCAACACAGGGATGACAGAGCCCTGCCTCCAAATTTGCCCGGCATCCATGGGCATGATGACCTTGAACTCATCTCTTAGCTTTGAGCATACTTATTCCCTGTTGTTCTTGAGTGCTTAGGTGGAAGGTTTCTTCCAGACCATCCATCCATCCGGGCAGACTCTATACCAACAGCTCCCAATCTGGTTTCCACGCAAGGCCACCTCTCCTTCCTGTCTGACACATGCCCATCCCCTCACTGCTTTCAGGAAAGCACACAGACAGAATCGGAGAGGGCCAAGAGGGTTTGGGCTCCAGCTCCCCCAGCAGCCCCCCTACCACACACACACCCCATCTTAATAGTTCCTGAATATGCCGCCCACTGCTATTCCCCCGGTACACTGTGAATCCCCACCACCTCTGGGCATTAAAACAAAATTATGTTTTGTCATTTGAGAGACGCACATAAAGATGGCTCTGCCAAAGGGCACAGGAAACATTACAAAGACCTAAGTCCTAGGGGCGACAGTAAGTTTCTGATGTCACCGAGGGGGAATGACCACCATTTTCCGCTCATCTTAGAGTATGGCGGGGACGCCCCTAGTGCTTTACCTACCCACCCTTCTTCCCAACAAAGGCGACATGGCCGCCTGGAACAGGTACCAGCTTGTCTCAGGTGGATCTGAGTTCAAATTCTGACTCCACACAAACTGGAAGACCTCAGGGGGATCACCTAACCTTGCTGAGTTTCCCTTTCCTCATCTGGAAAGAAACAGCTAGGGCTACAAATTCCCAACCTACAGGATTGTTTCGAGATTCCGTGAGATCAACATGATTGATAGTTCATAACAGATTCTGGCTGCCCAACAGATGCCTTATTCCAGCTTGATTTTTTCCTGATTTGCTGTCGTCGGCTAAAGCAGAATTTTAAGTGGAAGGTATCATCTCCATGGCTTTAGATCCTCATGAGCCTTCAAAATATCCAAAATTCCCTACAGAAACACAAGCTTCTTATAAAAAATCATTGGAGTCTAAAGCATATACCTAGCCCAGAACTTGGGAGAAATTTATCTAAGGCTTTTAAGAGGTTTGGGGCTATAAGTAGGTAAGTGATACAATAAAATGCAATCACCTCAATCCAATAATTCTATACCTGGGACTCTATTCCTAAGAAAATAAATGAAAATATGGATAATTCATATGCACAAAGACATATATGACACTGTTATTATGCGGGGAAAACATGGGAGCAAACTAATCAGTCCATAGTAAGATTTTAAAATATGTAAAAATATGTTTAACATTATTTTTTTAAATTATGGAACGCTTATTTGATGACATAATTTACAGACCTCAAAAATGATGATCATGAAGACCATGAAGCAACATTGCAAAATGCATATTATTTAATGTAACATGAAAAAGGCTGAACATAAAATTGACACTTGGCTCTCATGTTAACTATGCAGGATTATGCCTCTGGAAAAAGAATAGACACACATAATAATAGTTGTGTCAATTTGGCAGAATTAGAGGGTTTTTTTATTCTTTCATTTTTTTCAAACTTTCTAGGATTCATGTTTCACAATACTTTTTGAATTTAAAAAAAAATTTTTCAAAAAGTCAAAGTTCAGTTCAAAATTGGAAATCTGGGAGCAAAACCTACAGCCACCAAAATTTTGTAGGCTCCCACTGCTTCCTGGCATCCAAGACACTGTGGGCACCTCTTGTGAACTGGTGGGCAAAAGATGCAACAAAAGTCTTTTTGAAATGTTGCCCTCCTAGACGGACTTCCCACGGGGTCCAACCTACCCTTCCAGCCAGCCTTCCCATCGCTCACTCACAGAGCCAGCCTCACTGCTGCAGTAACTCAGCCACTCCTGTTTACTGAAAAAACTCAGTCTTCAGAGTCTCCTCCTGCTGCCCCTTATAAGATCTTGCTTGTTATCGCCCATTTAATGTTCCAAAAAACTATCTCTAAAGTGAGCTGAAAACAAGACAAGGAGGAGAGATGAGAAAACACACACACACACACACACACACACACACAAGAAAAAGTTGTCTTCTAACTATCTCAAGCCCTGACCCCCCTTTCCTTGGCCAGCATATAATTTCCATCCTTGGATTTCCCTCCTTTCTTATTCCGTGAACTACGTGGGGGAAACTCTCAAGTTGGAGATTACTACCTTAACTCTCCATAAACATCCCAACTCAAACTACTGGCTGATACTTTGCAGAGTGGGGTTTTGTTACCAAAAGACAGCTAGGGATGCTGTCCTTTCATGAAAACATGGAAAAGAGAAAGCCATGCTGGGGTCGTCTTCTGCGTTAAGTCCTCCAGGAGACACCTGAACTCAGCTGCAACAAATTCGTGAGATGATCAGACCTGCCCCAGCCCACCGCCGCTCCCCTTCTGTCGTCCAGGTAAGGACACTGTCCTCAGGATATTCATCTATGCAGTCTAATACAGAACCCCTTTACTTGAGGGAGTTGAATTTCAGGTCCTAATTTATTCTCCATGTATTCTCCTTCCTCTCTTCCTCACTGTTCCTTTGAAGGCACACCTAGTCCAGTCAACCAATTCCGTTTACAGTCCCTTATCTTTAACCCAGAGAGGTAGGGAACCTGTCCGTGACTGGAAGTTCCTGTCAGGGCTGCAACTGACACTGGAGCTGCTGGTCTTTCCAACACACCATGTTTGCTGCTTCTAATTACTGGTTTCCATATAGCAGAAGAGGTAACATCCCCGCCCCCAGTATCTTGTAAGAAAGTGTGAAAGGCAGTCCCACATGGCCCACATGAGACCAAGACTCTCTCACTACCCCTGAAAAAGAACGGTCTCCCTAAATTGAGGTGTGTCCCACAGTCAACAAAAGGTCACCACAAACCTCTGGTGGGATAGAGGAGGGCGTTACCACACAAGGCCAAATTCTTAAAGCATGCCATGGTCCAAGATTCATTTTTAAGACGTGTTACTGAGATATGTCTGGGTTCACTGGCTTAAAATGAGTTAACAAAAGACACAAATAAACAATAATGTAATCATTTAATACAATATCACTGTCTAAAGATTCTTTTTAAATATAAACATGGCAATTCTGCTAATACGTATTACATACATTTGCAACAATACACAAAAGCTGAAAGGTGGTTATTGTTGAATTGAATAAGTCCCAGAATCCCACTAAGAAAATAATGCGAGACAATAATGCATATTTCAGGTACACACTATAACTGACTTAAATTATTATGGATGTACTTCATACTTAATTACCTTTCTAAAATATGTCGGGGTATTTTGTCATAAACTCTGCAGAGTCGGCTGTACCTCTACTAAATACTGCTCTGAAATGCAAACCCTTCGCTAATGTTTTTATTTGAATAACTTATTACCCAATATAGCAAGCATCAACACATTTTATAGAACCAGAACTTGGCTCTCTGAAATTCCTCCTACCCTAATGCCAGTCACTGTTGGGAGCATTTAGTTATAAATTGTCTTTCAATAAAAGTAAAAGCTCCCAAAACAACAAAATGAAAAGACACAGCAGCTTAAATCAAGGGAAGTCAATTTCCACATGCCGATCCTAAATATTTCATGGCCCTATTTTATTCTGACATTTGTAGATGACTAAAGTGTTACAAAGGAAATAAAATGCTGATTAAAGAGTTCACTGTCATAAAGGTTACTGAATTGTAAATGGCCCTTTCCATCTTCCTGTTAATAGGTACCCAGCTGTAAACATCATGAAGGATGTGACGGGAGGGCGGCTTCCCTCCTTTAGGAGCTGTATATACATTAATCACTGAATCACCAAGCCATGCTTAATTGCAAGCTGTATATCACACAAATCCATGGTAAGTAGAAGGAAACTCATTATTGCTGCTTCATAACTACTGGGTACTTCTCATTTTAACCTCCTCACACCTGGGACACTTTGTTGCTTTATAACAGGAATTCAGAAAAGGTATTACACCACTAATTACAGCCACACCGCCACCTCCAACTCAGCTGCCTGAAAGAAAAGAACGGAACAGTCTAGATCTGATGCCATCCCAGGCTTCTGCCTCATTGCCACTAAGTGAGTTTTTACATGTGGCTTCCCGCGCCCTCCCTCCCCTGTTCCCTTCCTGGGGACAACATGTTGAAATCCATTACTCCTTGAGAGTTTACAGAACTGTTTAAATGATAAAGAGAAAAAAATAAAACACCTGCAGTATATTTTGCTTTGACAAAATTATTGATTTAAATCCCATACAATAGCACAATACTATTTAAAGGTCAACCCAAGAAAAATGAGTTTACACCCGAACAGAGCTGAGCTTATCTGTCATGAAAGTGTAATGATGTGTTTATTCCCTCACTAGGGTGTATATATTTTTCAGGAAGATATAACAGTCTACTTGCAGGTGAAATCTGCTCTTAAATGGGAATTTCAGGAGATATTTACATTTCAGATGGTGGAGCTGATATCCGAAGCCCTGAGACCCATTTCTGTACTTACTAGTCAGTTGAGTATTTATTTTCATCGCCTAAAAATTATTCTTCTCACTCCTGGGTCAAAAACGAGACATCTACTTGAACACTATAACCACAACTCAAATGGGAATCTTTCAAGAAGGCTAAGGTTGCAAACAGAATGTAAAGGTTGCCATGAGAACAGCTTCTTCTCCTGTTTGGTTTCTCTTTCACATTTCAAAAACATGGCAATAAAAGACCCTCAGTTCATTATTTCTAGAAATAGTTGTTATTAATGAATCTGTATATTTGTCTTTTTCTTTTCAAAAGGCCAATTGATGTATGATTAACCCCCAACTACCACCATCACCCTTCCCTACTTGACCTCCACAGGTACTCAGACCTGGGTCTCATTGGGATGCAGTGAAGGGGATGAGTTCTGACAACCCTAAAACCAGGTCACAGCCCCTAAAGCAAACCTATCCCACTGCCTCTCTGTTGAGTTCCATTCAACCAGTATTCATTAGGTGCCAGGTACAATGCTGGTTGTGAGGGTATAAAACACAGTACCTTCTGTCTTAAAAAATTTCATTCATTCATCCGGCAAATGGACGGAGCACCTATCATGTGCCTGGCACTGTGCAGTGACGTCTCCGAGACTATGGTCTTACAGGGCCCACAGACTCTGAATACACAAATATAAGTTAAATAAATATCCCAAAAGTGGACTTTCAGGATGCTAGGGCTGCACAAAGCAAGGAAAGTCAAACTAGTCAACATGGTTCAAGGAGGGCCTTCCTTATTTGACCAGGGACTTGAAGGATGCAAAGGTGTCTGCTAGATGGAAGTGGAGAGGGCAGGTGAAGGCAGTGGGAAGGCCAGATTCAAGGTCCCCAAGGCAAGACAGAATCTTCTGCAGAGAACAAAGAGAGTTGCCTGTGACATACGATTTGGCTGAGGGGTAGAAGGGAGGAGAAAATCTTGCCAACAGTAAGAGTTCTAAACCTAAGGGAAACCACTGGAAGGTATGCAGCCTGTGAGTGCCATGACCAAGGACAGCATGGAAACCAGATCAGAGGAGAGCACAGGTTACGGTTGGAATTCCCCTCCATAAGGCTATTGGGGCTGTGGGAACAATGAAAATGATGATCAACGTCAGTGACCCGAGGAGCGAAAAAACTACTCTATTACTCCATCAGCATCAGTGCACAAGAAGTACATCTCCAAGAACTGGCCTTTGTTCTTGTGTTGCCAAGACTAGGCTCATAAGTCATCTAGCAGAGACTTTGCCCCTTTCCACAGGTTCAGTGGGGCTGGGCCAAGGATTCTAACAGCTCTGAAGTTCTTATTATCCACCTTCAGCATTCCCCCAACCCCAGCTCACTAGATATTTTCCTATCATTGTTAGCTCTATCAAAACATGAGCTGGAAGACAGATCACTTTCAAATCTAGGTAGTATCTTGCTAACACTTGGAGTGAAAGCTGCTTTTGTGTCTTTGGTCAAAAACAAGAGCAAAGGGGCGCCTGGGTGGCTCAGTGGGTTAAGCCTCTGCCTTCGGCTCAGGTCATGATCCCAGGGTCCTGGGATCGAGCCCCGCATAGGGCCCTCTGCTCAGCGGGGAGCCTGCTTCCTCCTCTCTCTCTGCCTGCCTCTCTGCCTACTTGTAATTTCTGTCTGTCGGGTAAATAAATAAAAAACCAAAAAAAAAAAAAACAAAAAAAAACCAAGAGCAAAGATACTGACCAAAACTAGATCTGAAGGTGGTCGAAATTTAATTTTCCAAACATCTTCTTGTTCCCCACCATCGTGGGTGCTGGCATTTTGGTTGTCTAAAGATCAGTGTATGAATTTTACTTCTCTTCCAACACTCCCTATGGGGAAGAGGAGTTGGTGTTCATGAATCTTCTATTGTTCTATTGTTGACAGATCCTCAAAGTCTCTCACATTTAGGCAAAAACCTAAAGCTGCCTTGCTGGGTGAACTGCAGGAAGACTGAGCACAGTCCCACAGCCCATCCCACCATAACTACCTCCAAATCCCCTTACCACCATACCCCCACTACAGTCAACACAGTTACATCCAGAGAAGGAATCTCCTGCCTTCTCAGGGAATCCGTGGCATTGTACTTCCCACTCCTCCTCACCCCATCCCAATGCTGCATGAGTCAACCCTCCATGTTCACCACTAAGTCTCACTTGTACCCTTCATGAAACGGTGAAACAGAAGCTCTAACAAGCATACTTCTTCACAAGATGGCAAAGGGGGAAGATCACCTGTTTTGGAATCAAGCGCACCTGGGCCCACGGCGAAGCCCTACTATCAGTGATGTTCTTCTAGGCCTATCGCTTAGGGATCCTCCATCTTTTCGTCATCCGTCCATCCATCCATCCATTCACTAAATAGTTTTCAGATGCCTATCATGTTCTAAGACTTCTCACATTTGTCTGGTTAAATCATGACAGTAATCCCTTAAGGCAAGTGCCCCACAAATTTGTTTTATCATGTACCCTAACATAAGTTGATTTACTTATAAATTATGTAAACCTATATTAAACAGGTAATTTAAGGGTCGGAAAGAAAATATCAAGATTTTAAATGCAATTTTACTCATCAGTGGTGTCAAATCCTCTTTGAGCTTACTGAAAAACAGGTAACCACATATATTAATTTTTTCATTACAGAGACTTTACATATTTATGCCTCATTATTTTTTTTAAATATGGGTTTAACACTTTGTAAAAAGCCCACTTAAAAGTTTAGTTCTAATTTCAGTTTAACACAATTTTAATAAATGAATCATAAATTTTAAAAGGTACTTAAGTATATATATTGGTTTCTTGTGGCTACTGTAACAAATTATCACAAACCTGGGGGCATTAAGAAAAATGCAGAAACTTATCCTCTTAGAGTTCTGGTACCCAGAAGTACCACTGGACCAAAATCAAGGTGTTAATGGGGCTACACTCTTCCCAAAGGCTCTAGGAGGGAATCTGTACCTTACCTCTTCAAGTCTCGGAAGTATGGTGGCCTTCCTTAGCTTGTGACCATACCATACCACTCCAATCTCTGCTTCTCTGGGCACCATTGCTTTTCCCTCCTACATGGTTGTCAGGTCTTCCTCTGTCTCTCTTACAAAGACATCTATGCTTATATTCAGGGTTCCCCAAGATAATCCAGGATAATCCCCTCATTTCAAAATTCTTATTTTAATCACATTTGCAAAGACCCTTTTTCCATGGAAGGTTAATATTCACAGGTTCCAGGGATTAAGATAGGATTCTTTGGGGGGACCATTATTCAGTACCACAGTACGTATGGAAGAAACTGATCACAGGTTGAGTTCATTGAATCACAACTCTTCCTCAATCTCATTAACCAGGTATGCTCAGATTGTTGTTTGAATTCAGTGGGTAAATTTCCACATTCCTTGATGTCAATTACCCAAAATGTGTGGCAATTTTATCTTTCACCAGTGAATTCAAAACCCACTGATATTCTTCTTGGGAAGACTTTTCAAATAGTTAGAAAATTCATTTTCCATTTTTTTTTTAATGTGCAGAGATGAGCATCTTTACAGATAACATACCAGCCACAGTTGGCAGGAAAGAGTTCATAGGATGATGGAAATCTTTCCAAAAATCTGTATTCAAATGTCCTCTCCATAGCATTAGTTTCTTTCATTAAGCATTTCTCAACTGCATTTTTTGCCAAACATATCTGTTAGGATTTATATTTCTGCCAGACATTAGGGAAGAAAAAATTTTAAAAGCTTGAATTTCCTAAGAGAAAAATAGAGAACTCATATTGATAATAATAATAATTAAAAAAAAAAAAAAAACCCTTTCAAGTTCTTCCTGACATGGTCAAGGAATCTCTGTTGGAACCAAAGATTTTTGTACTCCATCCCCAACTAATAATTAAGCAAGTATAACGTAAGGGTTCTGTTATTTGAGGATTTTTTAAATAAAATTAATCGCATCACTGATATCCTGTAACCAGAGTCAAATTTGCAAAATGCTGAAGACAAAAAAGAAGGGAAGACGTTAGTATGAAATGCTCCTCAAAGAGAATTCCCAGGTGACCTCAGTAATAGCCCCCATGGTGTGTGGCAGGTGCTCTTGTGGGAGACACCTGCACCACGTGAGGGCTCCAGTTCAGTCTGCACACTAAATATTGGCCTGGCTTATTGCTTTCTTGTTTTTAGATTATAAAAATCAGGAAAAAAATTCTAACACTCTTCCAGCATGCCAGTGGTTCTTATGGTATATTCTGCAGGCTTAAGCTCCTTTCTCTAAAAACTGTTCCCTGAGTTATGGGTGAGTGTTCTTATTATACTGATAGGGAAAAGAAGCTGAGAAAGGCTGAGGGAGTTGCTTAAAACAGCACAGACAGGAGGAATCAGAGCCAGGTTTTGATCCAAGGTTCTGATTCTGTATCTGGCTCATATTCCACTGCTCTATAATTCCTCCCTTCAAGAATGGAGCATGGAAGGGGAAGAAGGCAGCTCAGCAGCGTGGTTCAAACCAACTGGGGGTTCACCAGTTCTGCCCAGATTTGACTTTGGCTCCATCATATCCTAGTCATGTGATTTTAGATATATTAGACTCTACACTTAAGTTTTCTCTTTTTCTTTTTCCTTTTTTTACAGATTTTATTTATTTATTTGACACAGAGAGAAAGAGCGTACAAGCAGGAGGAGCAGCAGGTAGAGGGAGAAGAAGCAGACTCCCCAGTGAGTGGGGAGCCCAATGTGGGACTGCATCCCAGGACCCTGAGATTATAACTTGAGCCGAAGGCAGCTGCCCAACCAACTGAGCCACCCAGGTGCCCAGTTTTCTCTTTTTCAAAATGGGGAAAATAAAAGTATCTGTTCCAGAGGGTGATGGTAAGGAAGAAATTAATTAATTCATATGAAGTACATAAGACAACAAACACATAGTAAGCAAAAGTAAGCCCTCGGATGTTAGCCATGTGATAATTCCTATTGCATAAGGTTGTTGTTTTTTTTAAAGATTTTATTTATGTATTCGAGAGACAGAGAGCACAAGTAGGCAGAGAGGCAGGCAGAGAGAGAGAGGAGGAAGCAGGCTCCCTGCTGAGCAGAGAGCCCGATGTGGGGCTCGATCCCAGGACCCTGAGATCATGACCTGAGCCGAAGGCAGAGGCTTTAACCCACTGAGCCACCCAGACACCCCTCTTCTTGAGCTTTTATTAATTGTGAATGAAATATGAGGATGACTTATCTGTCATCAAGCTGATAAGGGTCCCCCACGGGCAAGAATGCATCTTTCTGATGCCACATAGGCACACCACCCTCTGCCTCATCTCCCACAGATATCTGCCACTTAAGAATCCAAGGCTTGGGTACCTGGGTGGCGGAATCGGTTAAGCATGTGACTCTTGATTTTTGTTCAGGTCCTGATCCCAGAGTCGTGAGATCAAGCCGAGTGGCCGGCTCAGTGCTCTGCGAGGAGACTGCTTGACACTCTCTTTCCTTCTCCCCCTCCTTTGCCTCCACTCCCTCTCTCTCTAAAATAAATAAGTCTTTAAAAAAAATATTTAAGAATCCAAGGCCAAGATCTCGGGCTTTGGGTTATAACACATGCCCTGCTGATACTATTTGTGTCTATAATTTGGGCATAAAAAGGCAACTAATATTCCGCAGGTGGAAAGGTCCAACCCAACCTGGGTCTATAGTGAAAATCATTTGAAAAGTATAACCTGTTACGTGTTAACAGCGGCTAGTATTATAAGGTTTTCTGTTCCCATCTCAAAACCTTGAGTTTACCTACCTAGCCTCAATGTCCAAACCAGAAACTTGAACTAGTTAAAATAAATAAATAAAAATAAACTGGTAGAAATGCCAACCAAAACTTTGTCTTCTGACTCTGCTGACCATCACAAGTAAAGAAAACAGGCCACAGTCCACACCAAATTACAATTTCCCTCATTTTCTCAAAGTACAGAGGAGATACATAAATCAATACACATTTCATCCTGTGGAGTTCCTCTTGGTCTGACCTCCTCCCAAAAAGACCTCAGACCCCATCAACTGTCTCAACACTACCTTATGTACCCTGGGTCCTATTTCTGGAATTTGATAAAAGCATTCAAATTCTAGTACTTGAAACAAAAAAATCAAGTGAGCCTCTAGTTTCATAACCAAGTATCATCCACATGAAAATGACAAGATGAGGACCAAAGAGTCTGGAAATGGGAAGCTAGAAAGCTAAGCAGACCCAGAACGATGGACGAAGGGAAAGCTGTCAGACTAACGACAAGGTGAAGGCAGGACTTGCATGCCAACACATTCAGGTTTAGCAGCAAGATATAGAAGAATCTCAAGGCTCCCAAGATTGCAGGTTAGAGAGACAGAGGAAAGAGATTACATTGAATTCGGGTCAAGAAATCTGAGTTTGCATCCCTGTTTTGCTCCTCTCCCAACCTTGGGAAAATTATTTTCCCTCTCTGGACCTCTATGTCCTCCTCTATAAAAGTGAGAGAGCTGAACCAGCTCATTTTTTTAGAGACTTTCCACTCAATTATTCCAGACCTCTTTGGTCATTACCAATCTGTGTACTGTTAAGGCCAGTAACACGTTTCCTGGGTTAAAAGAAGTTTTTTTTGTTTTTTTTGTTTTTTTCAAAGAAGTTTTTTAATTTAATAACTATCTGTTGGGCATAACAAATCAATCTTGTTTGAGCTGTTTACCAAGTATGACTCGTCTACCCTCTTTGGATCCCAAGGTAAGAACAGAACTTTGTGATTAGTTCTGCCAAGGAGCTATGATACATTTAGTTGTCAATGCAAAATCCTTCAGAACTCTTTCCCTTTGGTCCAGTGTCCAGCAGCGCTCAAGGTACCAAGTGCTCTGCCATCTTAAATCCCTGTGTGACTAAAATGATCAGAGCCCTTCTGCCAACCTACCATGTACATGAAGCATAGCAAGAAATACATCCTTGGGGCGCCTGGGTGGCTCAGTGGGTTAAAGCCTCTGCCTTCGGCTCAGGTCATGGTCCCAGAGTCCTGGGATCGAGCCCCGCATCGAGCTCTCTGCTCAGCAGGGAGCCTGCTCCCCCCAACCCCACCGCCGCCTCTCTGCCTACTTGTGATCTCTGTCAAATAAATAAATAAAATCTTTAAAAAAAAAAAAAAGAAAGAAAGAAATACATCCTTATCGTCCAACACCTTTGAGATTCTGGAGTTGTTACAGCAGCCTAAGGTAGCCAGCCCTAATGTATACAAGAAGTAGTCTGCAATTAAAATTACTATTACTCCCCTATTATTCCTTGTAACTATGGCCTATAATAAAATACATTTTTAAAACTGTTTATATTTCTCAAGGTAAAGCCAGGTACCATATACCTGAAGCTAATAACTCACTTTCTAAGGTATATGCCCATTACTCCAGCTTCTCAAGGGATCTCCTCAAAAAAACAATGACCATCTCCAGTAAGAATAAATAAGGTGAGAACACAGCAATCACACTTCGGCTGCATTCAGTATCAGGAAAAACTTCCTTCTTAAGGAAAAAAAAAAAAAATCAGGCTGCGGAGGAATATGACACAGTATCTTTTTTAAAAATGGCTTGTTGTAAAAAAACAAAAAATGGCTTGCTGTAGGTAATGTGCTCTTGCAAGCTAGAGCAGAAAGATTTTGCCGACAGAAAGCAAGTGAAAAGGAGCCACCTTCCATGGGGCTCTGAATGTAGATTACAAAAGACTTCAGGTCAATTAACAACTACGGAAGAGAGGGGTACAGCTATAAAGGATGACTTTATGAGGCCCTGTTGGAAAAGAAAGGGGGAAAGAAAGAACAAAGACATAGAAGCATAAAGATGAAATTAAAAAAAAAAAAACGGTCTGGGATATCAGAAATGTAGAAGTATATACATGCATATGAGATTTAAGCAGCAAAAAAGCTAGATGGCTAAAAAAATCTAACTTTCAAAAGGCACAGGAAGAGAAAAACAGGATAAAATAAAAGCAATCGTATTTTAATCAATTGATCATTTGCTATCTGAGGCTTTTGGGAAAATAGTGGGAAGAACTTTCATAGATAGAATACCTAAGAAAACCACAATTTTTTTTTTTTTTTTAAAACCCAGAGTCAAACTCCTATAGTTATTTCTGGCTTTAAAACAAGCAAGACACACCTCCCATCTTGATTAGTCACAGAGCTGCTGCTGGACAGAGAGACGGACAGTGTGACCTCGACTCTCATTGACTCAACAGCCAGCCCTCGGGTACCAGACACACAGGCCCAACTTACAAAGGGTGGGCAAACTCCCACCCGGTATGCAGATGCCGCGTTTCTCACCGACGGGAGGATGTGCCGATGAATTAGCAGTCAGACAGTGACTGTCATTGGTAATAACTTCTTATTATGTCAAGGAATTTACATGCAGATCAATGTGAGCAGTGCACACTCGCTTATCCCCACCATAAATCACTATCGATTGGCACACCAATTCCTCACCATAATTAGGAGCTATAGACAGGGTTGCAATGTTATCTTAAAATACTGTGTCACCACCCTCCACAGCACAGCTGGCACCCACGAAACTCCCGTGCTGCCACTCTTACTCTCGGCAACACGGCTGCTGTTGTTATCTGGGGTGAGAAGTGGGGAGATTAAGTGAATAAAATGTCCCTGTGTGCAGTGTCTCCTTGAGAGATTCCCTGTACCCTATTAGAGATTTTTTAAAAATGGGAATTCCTCCATATCCATGTTGAGTTCCTGTGTGCAAATGCGAAAGTTGGCAACATGCTGCTCTTAATCTGATTTATGCACCAATTTATTTTATACATTAGGCACACTGTATGCAGGCTGACTGATGCATAAAAATTTCATGCAAAAAAGGACTCACTCCCGCACAACTGCCTTTCAGTTATTATTACCTCTTGTGGTTCCCATCCTACGGTGGGTAGGACAAATGACTCCATATACCAAATGCATTTTGCCCACTATACAAACATTTTGATCTGTTTGTTTCCCCTCGGCTCCAACTCCACAGAGCTAAAAACGCTGTATCGTAACTTTCTGAAATCCTTTAATGCTACAAAACACCCGCTTATGCAGATAACTTCTCTCCATGTTCCCTCTCTAACTGTGCATTATCAACACACAAACATGCCCAACAGAGGCAAACAAACAGAGACAGACAGACACATACCCATGACACACCTGGGTATTTCTAGTTAATTTTTTTTTTTTTTGGTTCAAAATTTTTTTTCTCTGCATATCATAACCTCCATGCATTCCACGTTACTTTTCTAATTACCTTCCCAGGGATATGTCCCCCGAATATTAGTAACAGCAAAAATGCAAACAAACAAAAAAAGCTTTTTGGGTAGGGTTTTAGTTAAGGAAAAAACAGCTAGAAAAAGCATCTTTCTGTATTTTCCTTTTATTAGAAGTCTCCTTTCATCCAAGAAATATGGGGCCTGAAATAAATTGTACCATCCTGCTTTTTTTTTTATTCAAATCCTTGCCAGAGCTAGGCAGTATGCTAATGAAAACAGGTTGATAAATGACTCCCTGATATTTTCCAGACATTTTTCTCTCAGAAGTGCTCTAAACTGATGTAGCTCAAAGAGAATAAGGCGCATTAAGTCATTATATCAATTTTTGTTACCCAGATACTTCAGTCCCAGTTAAGCGCTGACAGCCAATATAAAACAAGGCAAGGGCATCATACGACTCCATCGATCAAATCTTGTCGTAGATAGATTGCCTATTACACAAATAGAACTAGCGGATTCAGTTTGTAGTTTTATGCTCTCCAATTAAAGGATAACAGGGTACTTTCCCATAAATCTGCTAATTGCAACTGAATTAATTTAACAAATTTCTCCAAGCACACAGGAAAAAGCGATTGGTTAAGCTAATGTAAACTAGCACAGGTTGTCACAAAGAGGCTCCCATAACATCCTTTTGCTATACCTTGATTGGGCAAGGTGTCACAAGTATTTAGCTACATTGTGGTTCTCTAGCAACAGACAGCTGACAAGCATAAAACATTGCACAAATAGGAGATAATTTATTTGTGGTACTTTTTTTTTTTTCTCTCCCTCGCTCCCCACTCTCCCCCCACCCTCAGAAGGAAATAACTCCCTCCTTGCATCTAATTAATGTTTCCCTCCAAGTGAAGCTGTTTTTCTAAATCAGAATTACAACAGCCAAAGCACTATATTACAGAAAGGGGTCCCTCCGCGCCACTCAGCCAACAGGAGGAGTGATGGGCAAAAACCAGAACAGCTGCGTATTGCATTTCAAAGGAGGAAATAGCTCAGGGCTCCTCAACAGAGCAGGGCAGATACGACACAGGTGCGGCACCCACTCTCCCACGTTCAAATACGCAGGTAACCGTGATAGCCCACGTGCCAGAATTAAAGCAGGACGATCCCAAGCCACAAAATAATGCATCGCAGTTGAATTCGTCGCCCGCTGTGCTCAGCATTGTGGAGACGAAGTTGTAATGACTGCAGGGGCACAGGGGCATTGAGCGACGACGACGCTCGTCTGCCTCTCCCACCTCTCCACCACGCCTCGTCATACCTCTGCCAGGGATTTCTGCGGACTGGCAACTCCCACAATGGCCTAAGACTGCTAAAGCTTGGGGACTCACAAGTGAGCAGGGGGTGAGGAAAAGAAAGCATATTTTCCAGATTTCGTGAAATAGGTCAGATTTTAAATATCTAGTCCCATCGTACCCCCTGTTTAGACTGGATATTTTCAGTGTGTGCTTGCAAAATACCGTTGCCATATCCACACTTGGAAGTGCCGCCAACACCTCCTACGTAAAGGGGATAGATTTCAGTTCTAGAACTTCTAGATGGGGCCCAAGGATGAGCAAGGAGAAGCCACAGAGCCCACGGAGACGGGGGAAGGTCAAGGCAGCAGTAAGCAGGATGATGGGCCTCCAAGAGTTCAAACTAAGGTTGGGAGTCGCTGGCGCCACTCCCTTCTCTTGGGATCAGAGCTTCTGGCTTCATTGCTACAGAAGCCCATTCCTTTTTTATAGTGAGGGAAAAAAATCCCAGTAGACCCTCTTTTCCAAAGCACATTTCTCACACCCTGTTTATCCACTGACGGTTCTGCTGATAGAATGACACCTCAATGGGACGGCAAGCTGTTTGAAGACAAGAACACATGCGTCTCAGTTTGTGGGCCCAGAACAGTAGCAACGATGCCTGCTGCCTCTGGGCATACAATGTACTCAATGACTTGAAACTGGCTCGTCATCTGACTAGAGGCAACAGGGTTCTTAGAAGGGAGAGAAGGTGTGGGTTAGGTCCAGGCAGGAAAGTATAGGGGGTTGAACCCTATAGACTATCCGTTTGCCACTTGGTAGTTAACCAGAAAAGACAAACACACACACACACACATCAAAAAAAGATATTTTGAGTAACAGATATTTAGGTAAAGATACTGCATCAAAAACATGACACGTGCGCGACAGCCCCAACTTGGCCATTACCTAGTCGTAGGATATTGGGATCCCATGTAAGCACCTCTTCCTCACCTATGAAAGAAGCTATGAGAGTAGATCCCACATTAGATCTGATGGAGGCTGGGAGATACAGCCGCTGGTTTTCAAAAAGCAGCTGCAGGTGGAATGGCATTCCGGAGCGTTCCTAGCCTCTAGGAACAGAACGTGACGCATCAGAGTGCATGGCCCGCAGTAAGGCTAAGGATTGTTTTCTGACTCTTCCCATTCAGATGTGCGGACTGTAATGGGAAATATATTCTTCAGGGTCACAGTCAAAAAAAAAAAAAAAAAAATTTTTTAAATTCAAAGCCACAGAACCAGTCCAACCCAATGACTGCACATGGAGATCCCGCAGCGCTATAATCACACGCATTCTCATTCAGAACTGGCCGGCCGCAAGGGTGGGAACCGGCGGGCAGAAGCCTCCTCTCCCCGCAGCAGCGCCTCAGTCACTTGTGATGACAACGAGCTGGGAAACCCCTCATCTTGGGAAAGTCGCCTTGGTGCAGAAAACGAAGGGAATCCTTTCAGAAAGGGTCCCAGGGGTGCCTGTATGGCTCAGTGGGTTAAAGCCTCTGCCTTTGGCTCAGGTCATGGTCTCAGGGTCCTGGGATCAAGCCCTACATCGGGCTCTCTGCTCAGCAGGGAGCCTGCTTCCTCCTCTCTCTCTGCCTGCCTCTCTGCCTACTTGTGATCTCTGTCTGTCAAATAAAT